GAGCGCCTTAGACCAACTAATTAATTTGTTGACTGCCGAGATGAATAACTGAATTATCATTCGAAGTGTTGTTGCTTTTTCCTTCAAACCGGAACATTCATTATTTGTGATTATTTCAGTGTGATTTTTTTACATTGAAGTATTACTTTTGCCAAGTCACTTTGATGAATATAAAAATGATAAAAAAATATGTTATTTGTTTTACTTATATTTTTCCTAACCAATTACTGCAAAGTATATAACATAATGTGAATGAAAGAAATATCAGTTTGAAAAGAATCATCTTAGGGTGCACAATGTCTAAAACGATAGATAAGTTTGGTAGAAAAAGAAAATGTGGTGGTAATGTCATTCGAGGTCCTCCCGGGAATGGATTTAAATTAACAAAAGATGGTCATTATGACATTATGAAAAATATTGAAAAATACAAGCGAACCAATTGACAAGAGTGATTGTGTAACTGTATCATATCTTGAGGGGGAAATTAATGGAACAAAAGAGGTCATACTCCTAGCCCTACAAGCTGGAATACAATCCACAATTGGTAATATTTCTCGCGATGCACGTCAAGCATTCGATGATAAAATTGCAGAGTGTAACAGCGGAAAATAAATTAAACGATGTTCACTGTTCAAAAGTATGCTTTATTCTGCCCAAATATATTTTCTAATCATTCTTTCGATTACTCACGTTTACATAAGAATCTAAAGACAAAGAAACAAAGCGTATGTCTGACCCAACCCTAAATGACTAATCAACTGGAGTAGAATAAAATATACAGGATCTTCCGTTGTTCTAAATAATAACCACTTGAATAACAACAAAAATATTGATAACAATAATAATGATAATGTATAATGTAATGTAATGTATACTCAATCACTAATCAAGTATTTCGTTACAAGAAGCGAGGATAACTTTGGCTCGTAAATATGATAATCTTAAAAGTGATGTAGAAATGAAAATGTCTGACATAACAGCGTCTACAATGAAACACAGAGTTGTAGTTTTGGAGAAAAAACATAAACCCAAGTCATCAGATGGACTGGGATATCCAGGACTGGACATCAATCCAAATGTTAGAATAATAGAACCAAAACCAAAAGATGTATTAATTGAACGAACATGGTGAATGTATTCCGCGCGTGTTTTCCCGCATTATGGTAGGTTAGGTTAGATTACATTTTGTTAAGTTAGGTTTATACACATGTTAGGTTCATACATACGTTAGGTTAGGATAGATCAGGTTTGGTTAGGTTAGGTTACATTATGTTAGGTTAGGTTCATACATACGTTAGGTTAGTTCCATACATACGTTAGGTTATGATAATTAGGTTAGGTTAGGTTACATTATGTTAGGTTAGGTTACATTATGTCAGGTTAGGTTAATACGTTAGGTTAGATCCATACATACGTTTGGTTAGGATAGGATATTAATCCAAATGTTAGAATGCATTTCGCGCACAAAGCGCGCGTTTATCCAGGGTCGGAGGCCCCGCCTACCTAGGTGGGGGGGCACGCCCTCCCTCCAACTGTCACCACCCACTTTTCAGAGACCCCGCCCACTGCCCCGAAGCCCTGTCCACCACCCCACCCTCAACTCCCAACACTTGAGCATGCACGCCCCCACCCACTATTGCACTTTCGGGTCCCCGCTACATTCCCACCATTCGCGCATTCATGCTTATACCCCGAGGAGAGCGCTCCTCAACATTCAGTACGACGACTCAAGTCAACGTTAGCAGTCCAGTCCACTCCAGCTCAGTCCAGTGCAGTGCAGAAGCAGAATTTAGAGTAAGTTAACATTATTATTTTTTTTATATCAACTAACTTTGAATTATTTCAGACTTTCAGAATGACATCCAACACACAGGAAATCAATAATGCTGTGGCATCGATCATGCCGGTGGTCAAGGAGAAGGCAGCAACGTCGAGCGGTAGGGGGCGCTCTCTCAGCTCTGAGTTATTCCAAGCGGACAGAGGTGAGAAGAAGGTCATTCATCAACCTACAGCAACTTCGAGCGGTAAGGGCCGATCTCTCAGCCCTGACTTATTCGAGGAGGAGGACAGGGTTGTCAAGAAGGTCAGTCGACAACCTGCAGCTAGATCTAGTCGTATTGAAAAGTACAGACTAATCCTTATGCAGGTAGTTGGACGACGCTCCACGTCACCCGCAGCAGTAGTGGAAAAACCGAGGGCGTCTTCTCCGGAGGACCCCATCGTATTGACCCCGTTGGCGGTGCCGCTTTCGCCGCTGCCAGCAACACCGGCGAATCCTCAAGTGTTGGTGCCACAAGTGCCAGTGCGACAGCCTATCGGAGAGGATAGTGAAAGGTTGAAAACTTTCCTACAGAGGTGTAGGGATCTAGCGAGGCCGCGTTGGTTACCATGAACCGGCAAATGGCTGAAATGGGTAACCGACGGAGACAATCAGAAAAAGAAATGGCCGAAATAGATCGGAATTATGCATCTCTGCAGGAAAGGTGTAAAGCAAAGACCTCTTCGGTAGAGCGGTACAAAAAATTAGTGACAATTATGGACACTTTTTTCGTAGATTCAGTGTGAATATAAGATTAGTTTTATGTTAGTTAGGAATATTTAATTATGGTAGTTTGAGTTTATTTTTGTAATTGTTGAAAAAAAAATAAAAAAAAAGAAGTGAAATAAAGGGTGTACATTGTTTTGGTTTGGGTATACATTGAACAATGCGATGGTTCGAGCATTTTTCTTCACTTCGTCTTATTATTATTTTCTTTTTTCATTTATTTCAATTCCAAGCTCTTCTAGACAAATACCTCACATCAGTTTTTGTGTTCTCTAATCTCTTGTAAATAATCTCTTGAGAAAAAAATATGTTTCATAATGAAATCAATAAGTATAATTCATATTGTATTTTATTCATTCAATTATCTCTTTCATTGAATATAGCTTATGTCATTTTGCAATTCATTCCCACTTAATCCCCACTCCTTCCCACCCCTCCCCCCTCGCTTTCAAAAGTATAAAAGTAGAAATCATCTGTTGGAATATTCAGTTGATCAGCCACCTCCAACATGCAACCTGACTCAACTAGCGAACCATACAGACTCCAGGAGCATCAGACGCCTTACTATGCGTCGATCCAGCAGCGTGTCGTTCACTCAACGACGGCACCTCATAGGATATCGCACGACAATGATATACCATCGGATTATCAATTGCAGGTGCAATTTGTTTGTTACCGGCAGTGATGAAGCGGACCTATCAGACAACGAATATCCGGACCTTAACGATTGGCGGGGTTCTGAATGGGATTCTGATAATGATAACCTACCGTCCGGAGATAGCGATGATGATGACGCTGATGATGAGTCCGAGGAATTCGAGGATAGACCTCAACCATCCACAACCACCATCGAAGATAGTCCTCCACCATCCCCCATCGTGACTGATGATGAAGTCCTCAATTCGGATGACGATATGTAATCGTTTCCTCGTTTCTTCCACCCTTTCCTTTCCTTTCCTTACATTGTTTATTTACTCAATAATTTGTTGTAAACAAATTCTTGAAAGTTATAAAAATTATAAAAACACCCAAGAGCATAAAAATATCGAAGAAAAATTTTCCCATTACTTATTCAATTTTGCTGCAAAAGTTGCACCAGCTGATCCATTTGTTGACTTTGATGCTTAAATAACTTTTGAACTATCAGAGATACGACAATAAACATTCAGATCATTTTTGTAGATAATTGAATTCATCTTTCAAATGTCATCTTGCATATATTTTTTAATTACTGGTAATTTGTTGTTTTAGGCATTTGTTTATAAAAATTAACGATTTCCTTGGGTTTTCCCAAATTTTCAGGCTTACAGCTCAGTAAATAATGCGAATTCGGATTTTGAAATTCAGAGCAATTTTGTTATCGAAATGAAGATGAAAATAATAACTCTGATGATGAAGATGAAAGTAGGAGATTTGAGCCGGTTCTAAGCCTCCTCCCACCACTATGACGTATTAATTGATTTTTTGTTGTTGTTGTTTAGTGAACTCAAGGTGACCTTGAAGTGACTGGTACATAGATCGTTCAGAATTTTTTTTCCGGTTCCAAGTCTGCCCTCACCACTACCCTACCATTGAACTGAAATATATGCGGTGAACGGGTTTTCATACCAATTGAGGTCCAATTTTTTTTGCGAAATAACAATATTTTGTGGTGAGGCACTCATTAGAACTATTTCATTCATGAAACAAAGTGAGGTCTGTGTTACTGCAGTCAAGCTGCTGGAAAATAATTCCTTGAAAATCAAAAAATAAATAGATAAGTACTTTTTGATCATTTCCATTTCAATTTAAGAGCCACCGGTAGACAGCTGAATCAACTATTATAAAGATGTTATTGAGTGTGTATGATATACATCAAAAGGGTAAATTTGTGGACAGAACACTCAAAAAATGGAGGCAAACCGCGGACACGTGTTTCTGGCTATTGGCCTCATCAGCAGAAATTGTCTCGGGAAAACCTCACTTGAATATTTGAACGTACTTATGTAATACTCTGTATATAGTCTGTTTCACTCTATGAAGAGTTTTTCGATACCGGAAGTGCTCATTATCGCATTCTCAGTATAACCGGAAGTGTTGAAAATACGTCACTATTTTCATTCCATGAATCATATTAAAAAAACCTATTCGCCAATTTTCAGGATTTGAAACCTATTATTTCCCAAAATACGACTAACCAACGGTCATCGCGCTGTACCTATCTATTTCCCGAGTCCCGAATCTGTCGAAGAGAAATCTTCTGAACAAATTTTTTCCAGACATGATTTAAAAACCAAATTGCAAGATGAAATTCACTTGATTTTATTTCAAAATATGTTTATTTACATGAGATATATTTTCCACTGATTTATTGAAAGGACCACAGAAAATTGAAAAAAATATCGAGAAAAATCAATATCAGTTATAATTTTGAAGCCCTGTTTTTTAAACAATAGTGTCTGTATTATGTCATATTCATTGTGGGATTCAGATGATCCTTCATTTTCACAAAAAATGTTTTACTGTTACAGGGGAGAGAGCCAAAATGAATATGTTTCAGTCCATAAATAGTGCCTTGGACATTGCCTTGAAGACAGATGAATCGGCCATTATTTTTGGAGAGGATGTTGGGTTCGGAGGTGTTTTCAGGTGTACTATAGGATTACAAGATAAATATGGTAAAGACAGAGTTTTCAATACGCCTCTTTGTGAACAAGGTATAGCAGGATTTGCAATAGGAGCTGCAGCATTGGGATCAACCGCTATTGCTGAGATTCAATTCGCAGATTATATTTTTCCGGCATTTGATCAAGTATGTATTATTTTATTTTTCTCTTCTCTCCTTACGGGAAGTTCTTAGACGAAGATGAAAGAGAAACAGAAAAAAAAATGAAATCACTATGGAAAAATTACAAAATGAATCTGATATATTTTCAACAAATAATTTTACTTGTGATGCACTGTTTGGAACCTTTCGTGTATGTAGTGATGAGTATTACTGGAGTTTTTCCCAACACCAAACATTTTTTTTCCAACACCTCGACACGTGTTTTGATCACCAAGTGATCATCTTCAAGAGAAAGATTTAACTGGTTCAATTATAATTGTTTAATTTTTCTGAAGTATTTGCCACTGTAAGAGGTTAGTAACTAGTGGAGCAACCTGAAGTGCAAGTATCATTTTGTTTCAATATTTGCGTCTGGCAAGGAGTTGTGTATTGAACTGTTAGAACTTCTCACTTCTCTAACCCACTTCGAATTGTTCGTTTTGTTTGTTATCATGAAATGTTACTACCGTTATTCAACTCGCTAGATGGCCTATTCACCTTTGGAAAAAGGAATTGACAGAAACACACTCAATTGATTTTAAGTGGGAAATAATTTCACCAAAATCTCTTTACCTATATCTTGCTTGTCAATGATAATGAGCAATTGATCAGAAATGTTTACAGATTGAAGTTGATTTTTTCGAACTCACATTCACAGATATTTTTCAATCATTCCCAAATTTAATTTGAAATACATTACAGTGTTTAAAATGGTCAATTATTTTGGAACGACTATTTAAATAACAGAAGTGAGTTTTCCCTTCTTATACTTACGGAAAAGAAGCATATATGTCTAGATACACATTATTATCAGTTACATTATCAAAACAGATGGATTAGTCAGTTCAGATATCTCTATTGCCACATGATATTAGTGAATCCGTGATGGGTGCATTTTGACACATACAAGCTTGGATACTTCGATACCAGATTTGGCGCTTCTCTAAATTTCAGACGCACATTATGTCGTTTTAAGCTTGTGATTATCTGTTCTTCATTTGATACAGCTACTACCGTCAATATATGCCCATTGTGATGGTCATTGTGGGTATGGTTCAATAGCAATACACTGTGAACAACTCCTCAATTAATAGATTTCGGAAACTCAAAACTCATTCACCTCCTTAATTGATCTTTCTGTATCCATTGATTCTGTATCGACAAGGAAAACTCGCTAGCAGAATAATATTGAAGATCATCGCAAGCACTTAGGTGATGAAGTCAACAAATTAAGAAACACTTCATCCTTATACAAAACATATGGGAGACTTCCAAAGGAAGGAAGAAAGCAATTAATTTCGAAATGAACAAAGGTGTGTAGGTCATGCACAAAAGTTACTTTCAGACATAAACTGGAAGAAAAAGCACTCTTCAAACAACTTCATTCATATAAACATCAAATCACACAAAAGATCTTATTTTTGTTTGAAGATGGAGAAATAGATTAACAGAACTTTCCTTCCCAAAAATAATTGTCTCCTGAAGGCATATTATCATAATTTCAAACCCCGTTACCGTATACACATGTATCATTGCCTGAAATTTTCATTTCTGCTGTTTTGTGAGCAGCCAGCTCCGGTTTTTAAAAATTATTGTTTGTTTCTCTATTGAAATATTTCAGGCGCACTTTCTAGTCTATCGTTCATTTTGCTCCGTTACTCCGTCTTGTTGAATTTTTATTTCGATATATTTGAAAGTTATTGATTTTTCTGCATATACTTTCTTTATTTCTACTCTAGCCTCTACATTTGAATTCCTAATTGTCATACCTTTGGTTTTTTCAATAATCATTTTCAGATTTCTGTCTCCAATGGTGATATTTCGTAGTTCCAGATTTTTTTACGGTCCTGTTAGAGTGCATTTCATGCAAATATCATCAATTCATCTGTAAAAGTACACTCTTAAATAAATCACTAATACCAACTTTGTTCTCTCTTTCACTTCCTTTGTCATGTTGTCAAGTATAATACTAAAGAGAGTTGGGCTACACCACCTTGTCGGTTTTCAAATTCTTCTGGTCATGGGTAAGTTGATCGTTTTCTATGTACCATACTTCTCTTCTTTTCAAGTTAAACAATATCACATCTCTCAGCACACTGTCAAATGCCTTTTCGAGCTCTATGAAAGTGCATATATAGTACAATGGAATTTCATACATACCCTGGGATTCATTGATGATTTTGTCCTTGGGAGAACGAAGGAATGTGGAAATTTGACTGTTGGCGGTGAATATCATTTTTATGTCCTGTTTTTTGAGAATTTGACCAATTTTGTCAGTTACACCTTTGATGTAGGGAAGAAAAGCTTTTTGGGGAACATCATTATTTTTTGGATCTTTGGGACTGGACGAAGAAATTTGTTGACGACGGATGGATCTGTCAATTTGATGGTCTGTGAATCCATTTTGGAGGCCGTAGCCTCCACTGCCTCCTTCAAGCTCTGCCACTGATTAGAACTACTGAAATGAACAACAACAATTTCAGCTACATATTTCTAATAGATGAATAAACTTCTTACTGAAATTATAAGTGTGATGGGAATGTTCGCAAATATGTGTTCCAGTGTGTTAATTTCCGTCTCATCTGGAAACTTCTGGTTTGTAGACATATAATTGGGTTTTCGCTAATAGTTGTTTTACTTGACGTTTCTTATCTAAATGTATTCTTCGGTGGATACAAATACAATGCCCAGGTTGAATCAAGTTTTTTCATATAATCTATTCCCCATTGAACCTTTCTTCGTGTAACATATAAATTTGTCCTTCTAATATTGTCCTTCTAATACTGCCAAACTCACAATTAACCGCTGCATTATGAACAAAGCTCAATAAGCTTTGGCCATTTCTCCTTTTTCGGGATTTATTAAAAAAAACACTAATGTAATTTTATTAAAATGACCGAAAACAATATATGAAAGCAATAAAATAATTGTTTTGTTTCAGTTGGTGAATGAAGCTGCCAAGTATAGATATAGATCTGGAGGAACATTCGACTGTGGTAAACTCACTGTAAGAGCACCATGTGGAGCTGTAGGCCATGGTGCCTTATACCATTCCCAGAGCCCAGAAGCCTATTTTGCTCATACTCCTGGTTTAAAGGTAGAGTTTATCCTGTTATTCATCAAAAAACCATTATCGATTCGACTTCTGATAGAACTACTTCATTTGAAATGTAGAGTCGGAAATTCTGGCGTAGAATAAATTCAACAAATGCAACTATATACTAGAACTCTAACTTTCAAAACCCCACTCATTTTACCAACTAAGTTGACGTCACAAGGGGATGATCTCAATTCGTTTCTCAAATCTAGTTCATCCTTCCAATATCTAATAGGGTGAATTTCAAATTTTTATAGTAGTCATACATCACTGAATTTTTGAGTAGAATGAGATATAAAAAAAGAACTATTTATAAATGGAATCTTTGTGGCAGTTCATATTTATCGTATCAATCTTTTCAATTTTTTAGAATATCTGAAAGATCTAACGACCATAAACTTCCATTATCTGCGGAAAACAGCTCTATGAAATATACTTTTTTTCGTAGTTCTCATAGTTTGAGTCATGAATCCTAGATTTCAGTTTTCATCGTCTTACATTTCCAGTTGCTAAACACTTGATGAAGTGATCGAGCATATTTGGAATTTTTTTTATTTTCATTATCTGTAATATCCATTTTGATTGTGTATGTTGATTCATACGAACTATATATCCACTTTGATACATAGTGTGTTTACCTAATGAACTCAACGACTAGAAAGATTGATTTCTATTGTGGTTACTGGTGAAAACTGTAAGAAATATTTCAGAAAGTACTGCAGACGTCTTTTCCACATACACTTAAGGACTCTTATAGGTACTTTTAACCGTTTCTAACTCATTTGTAAAGTTGATGTGTTCGAATATGTTCTTGACAGTTGGGTTAAAGTGTATCCATTAGGTTAGATCATTACGACAACTTAATTTTTACATCTGGCATTCCGCCTTCTACATTATTTTACCGGTACTAGGTTCACTTTGATGGGTTTTCTGTGATTCTGGATACTCCGCGACAATATATCCTTATATTCATACACTATTAAGGGCTCCACCCGTGTGATGAAACAGGGCATGAGTAAGGTTACTCCCAAAATGATGGTGCTAAATTTGAAGGTGAACATCTCGCTGTGGCCCCTCTTTTTACAAACTTGGTCTCCGTCCGTGACTTTTTCCATACTTGACAAAAAAGATCAATATAAATTAAATAAATCATTCGCAGAGTTATCTCTACTGAGAAGACAAAACAAATGTTCCACACTTTCAAAATCATAGCACAAAAATATAATAGCAAAAAGGTAAAACACAAAACAAAACTAATGTTCCAAAATATGAAAATCATAATAAAAAAAAATAATGAAATTCATAAACAATATCAGATCTCAATTCGTTCTCAATGTTCATTTACAAATAATATCAAGTAGTACCTTTCATTATTATCCTTTCTCATTATTCCACTAAAAATGATCTTTCCTTTGCGAAGGCACCCTATTTGTAAAACAGTCATACTTTAGTCCTGAAGAATTCTACAAATACATTTTTTTCTAACATTCATCCAGATACAATGATAGAAAGAAAACATAATTCTCATAATCTTCACACACATTGAACAGTAAACTCAAATCATCTCTTTCTGGACTATATGCGTGACTGCGAACCTTCGTACCCATGAGAACAAAACCCTCACTCAGCTATAATGGTTTGACAAAATCTTGTCTAATACAAAAATGAAACATAAAATTGTTTAACCCTNATTTTTTAAGTATTCGAAGACGCGACATTTACAGTGTGCTGCTTAAAATGTCACCATTATCGAATAGACATGTTTTTCACTACTTAATCACAGGATTATTTTCAAAATTGACCTGACACTGCAGGGTCACTCTGTACTCTCTACTTTTCATTCTCCCAAATATTATTTTTCTTATATACTCTCTCTTTTCCTGGCAATTGCGTTCACCTGCATGCAAAACAAAGATTTTTAATAAGTTGATCATTTTCTCAACATTATTAATTATTCTGCTTTGCCGGCTTCCGACGCACTTTGTGACTCTGAAAACTATAAGATAAACAAAACCACCAAAATTCCTTCATCAAGTTTCTACGCTAGCGAAAAATTTACTACGTGTTCATCGAACTATTTATTCGACTGATCTCTATATTTTCGACCCGACTATCTGACTTCGAATGAATTTACTATTGTTCTTTCAACATAGTAACTTCCTAGAAATGTTTTTCTCTTCATCTGCGAATTCCTTCTCTATGCAACAATAGAAATAAATTCTAATTCAATCCCTTTCGCTATTGCCGTGTTTGTTTTATTTTAATAACATTTGGCAGCTGCTGTCACCAGATCAATTTTTCAATATGAAGGCGATTTCGAAAAAGTCTTCATTCCAGCCTCCTGCACGAAAAGAAGGTATCTTTCACATTTTACGAATCCCCCTACCACAAATTGATTTTAAAATATCTAATAGAAAGACGCGTCAACCGTCCGCTTTCAAATATTCAAACTTCAAAGATTCGACTGGCCCTGGAAAAATTTCTCACAAAACCAAATAATACACCGCTCGTCACCAACTCTCAACCACGACCGACCGCTGAGAGCACCCTTCCAGCTATTGAGTTTGCGAACCCTACTCTAAGTACAGGGAGACTTACTTCCAAAAAATTTCCCGCGCGATTCCCTTTCCTAAGCTCGCAAAAGAAATCCCCAGATTTTGGCCTATGACCCCGCCTTAGTGAGATGGTCGCTAATATTTATGTCGGGCTCATTAAAATGGGCCATGCGAAATAGTTCAAAGAAACAATCCTATTTCTCTTAGCTAAGCTGTTTATACATACAAAGTCTGACATTGATATACGTCTGTCTGCCCGTTTAGTTGAATTCCGATAAGTTAGTGCGTCTGGCCAAAGAACAAGTGGATGATTTTTTTTCATAAACTGTGTCACGGTCTGGCCAAAATGTTACATTGTATGAGGCACAGGACCGTCGTTCAGTTTCTGAATTGGAATTAACTTTGTCTACTCCCCAAGCTAGAAAGTAATAATATACCTAGTTTTTTTCTTGCTAAGTATTAGATGGAATCAGCTAAATAAATCCTATGTGCATTGGAATATAAGATGAGAATTAAATCCGTTTTTGGCAAAACATTGGAGAATGTGGGAAACATAAAATTCGACTTGTTACCTATTGGAAGTCAGTAAAGCGTAGTATGAGAGCAAATACTCAGATTTCTTCCTCTTATTAGTCAGTGGGCTATGCTTGAAAACTGGCAGTGAACAAATCTAAAGACATGAACTTTAAACATTCAAGCCAGTCTCGGATATACCTACACAGTAGGTTGAACGGACTGACGCCCATCAGAAAACAACTACTCCCCTGGCTAATACCACGAAGAGCGTCGGATTATATCCGACAGGCGTTATTACAGGAATCTTCACAGAAAATTTCCTGCATATGAACTGACAACAACAGTGTAGACTAGCGAACTCCATCATTCATGTCAGGGTAATATGATCTCACCGTGTGAAATATCCATTTTCCTGAATCACAATGTCTGTCACCAAAAATATATGACTAGGTTATTGAAGTGAAAAAGTATGTGTATTGGAATACAAGTTTCAAGTATGATGATCTGTAACGTCCGCCAGCCAAACACGGTCGGTCAGCACCATGGCTGATGCAGTCGAGCTGTGCTGTCTCACATAGACATAGAATGTTATAATATATTCAATGTTACATGAACACAAAAAGTGTAAAGCATGTAACACGTGGCTAATAAAGATACAGTATGTTCATACATGTCTGTTATGTAATCATACTGAACCTTTGCGGAACTAAAACCGTTGCAAAGTAGAAAAACAGATTTTTTTCAGAGCTACCAAAAAAAATCAATACGAAATACATATCTCACACAGTGTGATTCAGTATGTATAAGTTTTGAGTAGATTAGGTTTGTATGTAGATTGGAAGTGAATAGTGTGGTACTCATGGTATAATGCGATAGTTGGATTATTATATTTTTTTATTTTTGGTCTTCAATAAACCTCTCACTGAAAAGTAATGTTTTCACATAAACGAATATCACTTGACACATTTTCTTGATTTTGTTTCTCATATTACCATAAATGCCTTTTGTCATGAATAAATCTGTTAAATTTGATTTTTCGTTAACCAGCTGTCATACATCAACTACATTAATTTTGTATCAGTCAGTTTTTCAAGTACAGAAAACACACAGCTAGAAAAAACTGTTGCATCTTCATCGACTGTTGTTGAGTCCAAACATGTAAAGCCAACTGAGAGTTAGGTTAGGACAAGAGTGAAAGGGTTTACTCGACCCTCCACCCGCAACCCGCAAGTGTTTATTTTGGCTCACGGGTACTCACACTTGACCAAGTAAACCCAGCTTCTTAACGAAGCCGATTAGCTCGTATGGTGAGTGGTCTTTCAGGTCAGATGGTAAGAGTACGGCTCTGCCGAAATCTAAAAACCTGATTTGGTCCTCAGAGAGTTCAAAAAAGTCTGGAGACAAAAACAAAGAGAAGCTGGAGAGCCTACTATGAGGCAGTCGAAGAATTTCCACTAGCTTCTAGGCTACAGAAGGCACTCTCAAATGACCACCATAAGAGTATCATGCTGACGAGTGAAAATGGCGACAAAGCTGCCAGCCTCCAAGAGAGTGCTGATATTCTTATGGAAACTCAATTCCCAGGTTCTGTCTCTCCTGGAACGATGAACTGGGCGGAAGTACCAACAACACCCTATGACTGGCAATCTACTAGTTCAGTTATTGACGAGGACAAGATAAGATGGGCCATATCGGGCTATTCCCTCTTCAAGTCACCAAGACCTGACGGGATAAGATCAGCCCTACTTCAAAAGGGACTTGATTTTCTTATGCCGCACCTGGTTGGAATATTTAGAGCCTATCCAGCTCTGAGGTATATTACTAGTAAGTGGAGAGAAGTACTACGCATCGTTTTTCTTAAAAACTATGAAGAGGCTGTGAGCGATACATAAGAGATGAAGTACTAGTTAACAAACCACTTCATTGAAATCAGCATGCATATACTCCGTGAAGGTCTACTGATCCGGCCCTTCACCATGTGGTTGGCAGAATCGAGAGATCTTCGAACAACAAAGCATCCACCCTGGGTATATTCATAGATATCGAGGGAG